GTTTGGACAGGTGTGTCACGTTGCTTAGGGACAGAAACAAGAAAGACAGACAGAAATATGAGCACTGAAACTGCAGGCGAGGCTGTGACATTGACGAAACGAGCACCACCCGGCGAGAGGCTCTTTGTTGACATGACTAATGGACCACAACAAACTGGCACAATCCAAGGTGAGGAAGGATATCTGGCTCCCAGCTAACGTCCAGGGATGGTCAGGGTGAGTTAACTTAACAACGTCAAATAAACAACATATAAAACACATAATAAATCAGTAATAACACACTGTGACAGACTGTAATTACAATTTTTAAAGTCCATAAGGAATGGTAAATGAACTGGTTCTTAGATAATGCTTTTTTACTCATTCACAAAAGCACTTTTTTCTGTGCCTAAGTGCAGCCCAGGCTTCAGTATCAAGGATAATCTGGCATGCAGACTGCTGCAGCCAAAGATCAGACCGCCAACTTTACGATTAGCAGATGACCTGCTCTACCTCCTGAGTCACCTTAATTTAAAACACACAAAAAACCAATCACACAAAAAACCAATCAAACACAAACATTTGGGTCGCATTAATTTAAAACACATTTAAAAAATAAAAAAATAAATAAAAAAAATAAAAAATAAATAAAAAAAATAAAACACATTTAAAACACACAAATTTAAAAAAAATTAATTTAAAACACACAAAAAACCAATCAAACACAAACATTTGGGTCACATTACATTTGAAAGTCAAACATTTGAACTGCCGTATTTGTCATTAAATGCATCACAGTGTAATGTACTCGTGCTTTAGAATATTGACTACAACAGTTCAAATGTCATGAAAGACATATTGAAGTCACGATGCTCATAAAGACTCAGGTGAGATTGATTTCCTACCTGCTTTCCTGGGTACGGGCATGATTCTCGTGTTTCTCACAGCGCAGTTTGGCATCAATCGGGGACGTCCTGTGAAAGTGCCTGTGCATCTCCGGAGTGTCACTCTTATTAACTTCCAAATCAGTAGAGAGGGGAGGTGCATGAGGTTGGGTTGGATGTACCGCCATCTAAAGGGATGGTCCTGTTACTTGAAACTCCTGATCCTTTCTTGGGATCGCTTGATGGAGATGAGCAAATACATCCCAAGTATGCAAGCTTATCTGCGTACACATGGACTGAGCACATGCACGAGGTAAACCCCAGAACTTACATAAAGTTTAGCACTGAGAAATTTAAGTATCTAGTTTAAAGGATGGGGGAAAAAATATAGCAATGTGCCCAAACCTCTTTGTGTCATGCACGTAGACAAGCAGATACTTTGTGTTCTGTGGATTGCCTCATGTGGCTTCTGTCAATCTATTGGATTTGGCAGGTCGGGAACTCAAAATCTTTGCTACTTTGTTGTGTTTGTTTTCTGGTAGAAGCCACTGCCTTTGGGGAGTGTCATTGCCATGGTAGGAGGGCGGCGGTGAGGTCAACATGTCAAAATGACATCAAGATGAATTTGGAAACGTGCAAATTTTCTGCCAGAACATTGCATTTCAACATGAAACTCAGTGCTATTCATGCAACCTGTTAATGTTTTGGCTAATTGGCATATGCTCACATCCACAGGGCATATCAGTGCTTAGCCTTGTAGTGGCATCATAGAGGAGTCATCTACTAAATACATGAAAGACCAGGAGGAGACACAAATCCCTGTAAGGGCTGCATCAGGAAGCATCTGGTGTAAAAATCTGTGCCAAGTCACATGTGTAGATCCATACACTATGGCGACCCTATGGCATTTAAGGGACTCGTCCTGTTACCTCAGCAACACGATGAACTGCAGCTTAAACTGGCTAACACAAGCTATAGGGGGTTATTTTCTGTACAGAGAGTGGGAGATGTCTACCCACCGGGGAGCTGTCGTCAACCCAAAAATCTCATCTATCTGCAGTTGCTTCGAGCGCACGTGGCAAAGAACTTGGAGCAAAG